AAGTCAGGGTAGTTTTAAATTAAGTAACCGAAGGTTATTGCGGCGCAATACATGCGATTAATAAGGAAGTTCACACGGATTTCGCAAATGCTTGGTCCTGACAATGAGTGGTGTGCGCCCTAAAGGTATGGGGAGGGGACAACCAATAACGCATTCGCTCACTTAAGGAGCGTTGGGGCATAAACTCACAAGAGAGCCATTCCTTGTTACAAGTCAGTCGGTCACTCAGTGGGCACATAATGTACATGGAATAGGTTGGGACAGATGACTTGATATCCTTCAAAGATTATCGTCTGTCATCCTTCAGTGTATGGCATATGAACGAAATCCATCAGCTCAGCTTCCAACACTAATTTCCCATTTAATCCAAGTGTAAGCAGATTGCTTAATCACTCGTGATAAACATTCCCGAAAGTCTCCCTCGGGATACTACTCTCGAATTAGATCAACAAAGGGGAAGCGCAGTTTCTCATCATCAAGACTATGAGGATATTCTTGAGCTTTTAAAGCCTTGAAATCAGCTCGTGAAGGAGACAGGCTCCAATCACATCCCTTTCCAATGACATTTAATGGGACTTTTAGAGTGAAAGGTAAATAATACAAAGCAGGAACGAAACAAATTATGGACTAGCGCATGTAAATGAGCACAGGTTGCAAGTCCATGTGAGTCCAGACAAGGTGAATCAAAAACCACACGAACATTTTGGATCACCTGATGAAGGATTATCACGTTCTGTTGATCTGTTACAATGTGTGGATAGAAAAGAGGCAGTATTCATAATAAGCTGCATTCCAAGTGGTTTGAGGTAGAGATCATAAAATTGTCAAAAAGGATTAATATTTCAAGGGCTTCATTCAGTGATAATGGTGAGCGAATGCCCACCGAGAACAATGCAGTTGGACAACAAACAGGGTTAGCAGCAATCACGACCACTTTCGGCCGAACTACCCAATCTTCTCCCCACCCAACCATGCAATCTACCCTATCACCTACTCATTCCCGCATTAAACCATCCCACACCCATCCATTCTTTCAATCATCTAACCGGCCATTCCTTTTTTTCATTCTATCCTATGAATGATTTACTTTACGCCTGATTATTCTACGCAGAATCGTTTTGGAATGTACTTTGAGGACAAAGCAACCCCGATAAACGAACAGACCTGCACAGAGTCAGCCTCCGCTTCCGTGCGCAGCCTACGTGAGATGGAGGAGACGAGGGCGAACTCAAATATGGCCATGTCGTGGTCAACCTCAATTAGCAGTTCCATGAGCGAAGTCGTTTCGTCCGCCATCTTGTCACGATCACAGTCATTGGGCTCCTCCGCAGGATCAGAATGAAGAAGGGGCAAGGAGGTGGAGGTGGGCAGCAGGAGCCGGCCTTTCGTCACGCTGCACGTTTCACGTCCTGCGTCCACGTCGATGTCTGAAATAGGGGAAGAATTTTAGGCCAATGGAGGGGTCGTACTAGCACCTTGCCCAAAAAACATTGAGGATAATGGAGCTGATTTGATTTGCTACCATACTAATCCATTCTCGTTCACCCACCCATGGCGCACCTATGCCACTAGTCTCCCAACCCCTCCGTACATTTAATCATAAAGCTAATTCTAGACTCGTGAGTCCCATAGTGCCTTAAGGATTTACTTAAAGTGGTGAATTGGCTTTGCGCAGGGTGTCTACGACAGTACAATAGCATAGAAGGAAGAAGACACAGTCGTGGACAGCTGAATTGGCGAAGAATTACAACAAAAGGGTAGCTTTGCCTGCAATGCTGGCCAACAATGGGAAGAAATCACGTTTTAAAGACTAGAAATCATTCTTAAGAGCTACTTGCTACTTAAATCATGATCAGAGACCACGGTGGCGCCTATTTCAAGTAGCCTTTGGGTAGATGGTCTTACAAAACCAACTCGTTGTAGACCATCATAAAACCTTTTATGTTACTTCTCAAGAAATTCCTCTCTGACACAACTTGTTCATGAAAGGACGACGCGTACCGCAACGAATGAAATGAGGCCAATTCCTGCTAGAGTACAAATTGATCATATTATCCTCGGTCCTGCCTCAGGATTAATGATCGCAAAAAAACCTGTGACTTTTGAAGCAAAAGTGCGACTGCGGTGACCACCGGTGATGACGCTCGAACTACGAAGATAACTATAAGCTATGATTGTATTTAAGCACCTAAACCTCAGCCCTCCGAGTTTTTGCCTCCATCCACGTGACATAGAGCTCTATGAAGTCATCCATCATCTCCACCCATCTACAACAAATCAATTCCCAATGCAAACACCTCATAGCGTCCTTAAAGATAGCTCAACAGCTAGATGAACGCACTACAGATAATTTGAGATGAACAGGGACGGTGGTCGGAAAATACCAGAATGGCTATGCCTAACCAAGCTGATACCGCCATTTGAAAATGGCAACTTCAACAGGATATAAACTAATCCCGACAACCTCCGAATAAGTTAACAAGACAGGTAAACACATTAAAATAGCCGGCTTTTCACCATTAAATCGGTCAGAACTCACGATCAACCTCCGATGTGACAGCTTCCACAAAGAAAGACAAATGGGATGGCGAGGAATTTCGTCTACTGAAGATACCCTTCGTAGTTGTTGTGACAGATGGCTGGTTTCGATGCTGATACCGATCTCGCTTCGCCGTGAGCTCCACTACCGTGGCAACCTGAGACTGGACTCTCGCCAAAGTGGCCAAAAAAGTTCGGGCGATCGGACGAATCGCCATTAGCGAGCGATCACTAGAACAGGAAAGGGTTCAAAAAGAAAGTGAAAAGTGACCTACGTAGGAGCCATATCGAGCACCTTGTTCGCGGTAGAAACGAGGGATTCCTCCAAGGTGGCGAGGTTTAATTCTTCTGTGTACTTCATGCGAAAATGGCGCTGATGCCGCAGTGGTTCGGCCACACATGTCCGGATTAGTTTGAGTAGAGAGCGGACTAGTCGCTTCCGTGAAGTCTCAATCTGTTTCAGGGAAATTTGCTACATTAAAAATCGAGCACAACAGCCAATTCAGACTCTCTACCCATTAAAACATTCCCTTTAAGTGCCATGTATATGTAAGGCTCCAATTCTCATATCTCATATAATTTAGGCCAAAAAAGGAGAACAAGATCGATGACATCTAGGTTCTGAGGGTTCATTGCGACGCAAAGTGGAGTAGATGTTAAGTAACCGTCTATAATAGGGCAGGAAGTTTTTCTACCTGTGACGGAGGTATCCATGCTGCCCCATTAAAAATACGCTTTTGATTTTCTTTACCAAGTTTGCAAGTAAAAGCCTCAAAAAGAAATGGTAGCAGACAGCAGGGACAGAATAGAGTCCTGAAGAGGGCACATAAGCTGAAGGTGAGCTAATGACACTACGTAGTGACGCTAGTCCCAATGTGTCCATGTATCGCCAATACCTGTATTAATTCAAGGAAGGTAATCAGTCTTAGTTCTTCAAAATAGGTCCTATAGCCTAAAAAAGTGACATGGTTGGTGCTAAGACCAAGAAATCTATACTACAGGTTAAACTCTAATCATCAATTAGTAAAGCAGAATGATTACAACAAGTAAAACCATCACTTTTAAAATTAACAACAATTCGAGGCTGTGAACAGATGAATTTTAGAGGTAAAATTCCTTTCGAAAATGACATATGAAATAAACTTACGGCGCCATAGACAAGGGAAGAATTAAGGTGCAAAAGCTTGGTCTCCTCTATTTGCGACCGCACAGAACATTCATGGAATCTATAAATTGCCTCTAACGTCGGACCCGACATTAACCATGTTCCCATTGGCAAGGACTATAACTCTAAATTGAGTACGGTCTCTTGATGAGATAAACAATAGCTTAGTTGAACGTTTCGAACAAGCTTTTTTAGATAAAAAGATTATCCGGAAAAATTAAATGCCTTATTTGGAGAGCTACTGTTATTACAAGGAAGGATCAACTGAGCAAGCCTTATTTTTCCCGTTTCATAATGATAATATTATGACTTAAAGATTTCCCCTTCTCTGAAACAAATAGCAAGTAATAGACAAAAAGTGACACAATCTCAGAATAAAATTGATTTAAATTATGGCTAAAGTGCATCATTTCAGGCATTATTGTGGTGCCGCGCTAGGACAGGCATACCAAACAGAAGATCTCTGTAGGTGCCTCAGTGCTTTAGATATATTGGAAGATGGGGGAGTGTTAAAAACCCTATAGGTCAGGAAAAGGTAGTAATTTGGTTGTGCATATACCATCTTTTAGAACATTTTCTCATGTGTGGGTGTAGCATGGAAGAAATTAGCTCTGTGCTAGAAACTTTATCTTTACTCTACACCTTTGCTTTCGCACCGATTACTGATTTGTTGGAAACGTTTGGGAACATTGCGGAAATAATGCGCATTGCTGTAGATCTGTCCTAGTAAAGAAATGGTTTTTAATTCTAAGCATAATAAGTATGGCAGACTTGCAGAGCGGTTGGGGGGCCACTGGCACGGCCCCCATAAAAGTGTGTCCAAATGAACCCAATCTATTTTTAATTACTATAGTTGTTTAAGTCTCGATTTTGTGAAGGGACCACTCTGGACCATTCTTATTGTGCTGGCGTCTGGGCTATGCCCGTAGCACTTAGCCCTACTGTCTAAGTACCATGTCTTCTTTTGCATTCGGCGTGCTGCATTGGTGGCATTGGAAAGCGAACTATTGCTGAGTGATGAGCCTTAGAGGGAGGGCTACAAATGAGCATATGCTGCAGATGGGAAAACATACGGCGACCCCCAGCAGACGGTCTGTAAATGACGTCTGACCTCGGCAACTACTCCAGTTCCGTGGTCTGCAAGATGACTGGATTTGCCTATCGTACCTTTATGAAGCATTCAATTAAGTAAAAACGCAATATCTCCTCCACCTCTCTGTTGGCTAAAGAAAACCCAGGTAGATATATGAATTAGCAGTGCTGAAGTGCAAAAAAGGTGCAAGGAGGAACAGACGCGAAACTCAGTCCCCACCCTCACGGAACTCTGATCAATCCCATTCTTTGTTCTACGACCACTTTTAGGCCATTGATGCCACGACTAGCGATGGACACGCGCGATACCCAGCACATTCCTCCGTCCTCAAAATCCAGTTCCCATGTAGGACAAAACTCCAGATTCACCAGAATTGCCAAGAGGGATCAGTGATTTTGAGGCCAAACATCACATTAGTTGTATGCAACTTCGATGACTAGCGCAGATGCCTCGAAGGTGATTTTCTGACAGCACTGCCTACGCTGTAGAGGCTAACGCAGAACGCTGACCACTTTTTGTCTAGGAACCATATATGTTCATGTTAAGTCTCTTAAGGACTGTGCAATTGGTTTAGACTCAAGAGAATAATATGATTGAAGAAAATAATTCCTGATTAAAGCTACCAATTCTACCAAAATTTGAACAAAAAACTGCCACACTGTCCGTTCTTCTTCTTCTTCAGATATCTTTGAATCAATTACCAAAGTCGAAATTACCCGAACTGTTGGATTTTGGCGACTTAAATGCAAGCCTCTAAGTGTGCAAAAAAGGTGCGAAGAGCCGTTGTTCGATTGCATGTACTTAATTTGCAATGGGGGCTTGGGTAAGCTAAAATGACAGTTCAAAGTCAAAATGGATTAAATCCGTGTTAAAGAGGATTGGAATTTCGGCCATTTGTTTGCTAATCTATGAACCAACGGGCATACGAACGAGCAAATTGAGATTAATAACTTCAGGACTGCTGGGCCTTGTAGGTCGTTACCAGTATTTTGGCTATTTTAATGCCATAGGGACAGCATTTCTACCGAAGCCCCCGTTAATTGTATTGGGATTGACCCAAACAATAGGGACAGGTGCGGCTTCATCCTTTTGGTAGGAATCAAAAAGCTGATTAAACAACCTTATCACAACATCACGCCTACAGCGCCTTGATGATCCTGGCTGTTGATATCAATGAACAGAATTTCTTCATCAAAAGACAAGAAAATTGACGTGTGTATGCATTCTGCCTTGGGCGGAGCATTAACGCCAGCTATGCATTTTCTTTGCATAGAAATAATAAAATGCAATTTGCTGTGCTGCGACTTTATCACCTTATGTGCAACCCATTGAAACAAATGTGCAGGTCGTGCCTCAATGATTTTACATGTTCCCTCTACGTTACCATAGTGACGCATTCAAACAAGATGACCCATTATTCAGCTAAAATTAAAGAACCTTAGAAAAGATGATTTTAAGAAACTTACAACGAGTGTTTTCACTCTCGAACAAACTAGGCCTTTGATTTTGTTTGGCAAAGGCAAGATTTAGAATACACCCAGGTTTGAATAGGTGGATTATTACATATTTTTATTTCTTCATAGAAGAATATACACGTTCCTTTGAGGATTTTGCTGGGGTGTGCAACAAACTTGCCTCATTTACCCTTAAGCAATGCTTTCTTTAATGAAATTTGATTTTTAGTCTTAAGATTGCATTATATCAATTTATTTGTTATATTTACAGAACTTTATTTCTCCCCTGAGATTAAAATAAGCCTCACTGGTCTGGGGATTTTTTACAACATGCAAAAGGATTGGGGGCTATAGGATTTTACTTCCGGTCTTACCATTCAGCAAAATTTCAGCCCTAGGAGGCTGAAGATTTCTTAATGTCTAGTAAACCCTTAATCATTAAAGATGATTTTTTGTCACGCTCCGAATTCTATCCACTGTTAGGCTGGAACAGCTCAATATAGTCTTTAAGTATGGAACTTGCTACTTGCTTATTCTTATTTGAAAATTTTTTGCTTAGCACCTATGTGATGCATGGAGAATTTGGTTCTTAAAGTCGATCATCTACCTACCAAATACAAGATTTGACTGAAGTCAAGCTCTTTACCCGAATCTCAATGCCCTTTGTTATCCTGTATCAATACGCTCAGTCAATCGAGGCGGAGCACTCCATGCAGATAATGCTATTTTTATCCTATTTTACCCTATAAGGCAGAGGACCTGTTACAGGAGGGGAGTTCAGGGCATTCGATGCCCAGCCGCTTTCCTCGTTCCGCGCTACAAGTGTTGGAATACTCTGCGCTGTTCGGAATCAGTTTTTCAGCCTTTGCTGCACCAGAATCGTTTAATTGCCCGCTTCCTTTGATCCGCGTTCGCCGCAGCTCCAGACACTCCTTGTCCAGGCTAAGGGAATTCTCCTTCATTGCGATTTGCTCTATCAGTCGCTGACGTTGGCGTTGTACTCCATCAAGGCGGTGTCTTAGATTAACCATGGCGGTGGGAAAAAGAGATAAAAAAAAACATCCTGACAAATGTGCATAAAATGGACCTGGCTCTAATCTTCCCTATAGGAATTAGGGTGTAAATCAAACACACACGTTTCTAATTTTATTTGATTCTTCAGTCAATACACCGACGACAAGCAGGTAGTGCCACCTAATTGGGTGTCAAAACAGGAGCAGCCAATCACTTACGAAATCGTTAGCCAATTAGACGTGAGGTAGGGCATCGATTTTCTTTGGTATTAACCAATCAATGGCTCGGCTTGAACTTGGACCACGAATCATCAAAGACGTGAAGAGAAACCAACCAGCGGAAAAGATAAGGCTGTACCTAATAGGTTTTCCATAAACCGGAAATTGCGGTGAGAAAAATGTTTTACGGAAAACTCCTAATGATCGTTAGCTAAGGAAAAATGCTCTATTCTAATAGAAATATAAATAACTCATCATCGCCTTTAACCAATGAGCAGCATCCACGGACTGGGATTCTTCACCAATCGTTAACAAGCATGACTGACTAATAGACCACGGCATAAAAGTAAGGAACCAATCGGTAGAGAAGCTAGAGAGGGAACCAATCACTTTCTCCCTCTCGCTAATGAGGAAATCAAAGGAAAAATCAGGCCATTTTACCACGCTTGAGCTGAAAAACTGTGCTGTTCATCACCCCTACCGACACACAAAAGATAAATTCGGGTACCAATCAGGGATAAGCAAGAAAGAAAGGCTAAATAACCGAAGCCATTTTTTTCTAATTAGTCAGGAGAACACTAACCGACTTACTTAAGGACGGCCACTTGTCAATAGGAGTAAAAGCAGGAACCACTGGGTTCTGTTGACGACTAGTTACTAGTAACTGAATACTTTCATCCACTGACTGACAAATATCAAAACCCGAAGTGATTTTATGTCTGAATCAGGACTTCCACTGGCTGCTAAATCAGAAGGACTAAGTTGATCATTCAGAAGTGACCTACGGACCTACACTGACGTTGTTTGAGCAGTAGGGTCTCACGAGAGGTTGCAAGCTGTCTGACCTCATTGGTAAGGGTGCATTGTGGTACGTCTAGACACAAATCCATTCCAGGACGGTAAGTGCGATTCTCGAGGCGAGTGTGCGCAATCTTTGCTGTCTGCATCTCCGAGTCCATTTCCTGCTCCAGCCAAGCGAGTTGCTTCAGAACCTCTTCTATCTCCTCTTCAATCTAGCCAAAGGTGTTGTGGGCAAATATAAGACACGATTTTTCCAGTGGCTCTTGAGATGTCGATGTCACGAGTAAGAATAAGTACCATTTGCAAGCCAGATCAGATTTTATGGATTTGCAAAGAGCAAATGGAAAAAAATTGCAGTTACTTTTAACATCAGTCCCCTTCCTTCTATTATGCTTAATTCAAACAAGTGTTGGCAAAAAGTTTAAACAGTACGGTAGAACCCCACACAGGACATCGCGGATACCGACCATTCACTACCTTGTTATGGTTAAAATTCAGTGGATAATGTAGGCGCACACTATTTTCTTCCAGATCCTACGACAGTTTATGCGTCGATTAGGCAGTAAAATTTATTTGCTACATGATATCGACAAATGTAAAACCGGTATCCATTTAAAGAGTAACGTATTCCTCTATCTCATTGTTGAGGGAAGGGGTTGGGGAGAAACTGCGCCTCTTTACCTTAAAAACCGTGCTTAGAATTTACGCCTCTTCTGGCAAAGTCGCTCACCCAGCGCTTCAAGGTGTTGCAATCGCGTGCAACTTAAACGCTTCTTATGGTAAAGATGCGATTATGCCGAAGTCTCTTGCCTATATTCCGTTAAATCAGGAAAATTTCGCCATTGGAAGGCGCTAAACAATGAAATTCATAGATACTAACCTCCTAAGTTACCGGATTGTCTAAATGTTCTCACTTTAGGCCAAAAAAAGAGTAGGATAACTTTTTGTCCCTTGAAAAATTTATTTATAGAATTGGTGCCATTTGTATGCACCATAGACCAAGATAAACAACTTACTTGTGTTTTTTTTAAAGCAAATAGGCTATATGTCTAAAGTCTTGATAGTAGAGTAAGTGTCCTAATTGATGAAACAAATGTTAAAATTATTATACGCAAGTTTTGGTCGAGGAAAAGCAGTCTAGCCATCTTACCAAGACAGAGATCTCACTCACAACTCACCCTTTTCTTTTGCCACTTGAGTTTAGTCAGAGCCTGTTGCACTTCGTGCCCTCGCTCACGAAGTGCCGAGTCCACAGCATCAGCCTGACCAGTCAGTTCATTGGCGACCTCTTCAATTAAGTTGAAGATCTGGTAGCGTTGGGTCGTACTCTCACCCACCTCCTTCAGCGCTCTATCATAGTTCTGTCTTGAAAAAGTCTCCCATTCTCTCAAAGTTGTTGTGCTTAAATTTGGTGTTGTAAAAGTGGTAAGAATAACTTTAAAGTAAAAGCAAACAACATTTTGCACAACTCACTTAGGAGGAATACGCGTAGGATCAACTTTGAGCGATGCCTCAGATAGTTTTAATGTGGTCTGATTCACGTCAATTTCAGTGGTTTTCCTCTTATCCTGAATATCTCTGCTTATTCTGCTGTGTGCGTCTTGCATAAGTAGAAGTTGGTTTAAAGCCTCATCTATTTTTTGCTGCAGACGTTTTCTATTTTTTAGTAGAAGTCCTTGCTCCTTCCTCAGTTCAAGGTCAACTTTGTCCTCTGTAAAATCTATTTCTCGACGTCTGTCTCTTAGAACTAAACACTCAATGTTACAATCTTCGTGAATCTGCATTTCCTGAATTTGCTTCTCCATTGCTTCCTTGGCTTCGTTCAAGCTGGAAATGCCATGCTCTAACATGTTCTCGCCCCGATCAAGAAGCTGTGTAGCAGTGTTTAGTGAATCCAGCCTGTTATCCAGCGCTGTTGTGCTTCTATGGTTATCCCACTTCGTCCGCAGTTGGCACCCATGAAGCGTGGCCAAAGCATCATGACGAGTAATTTCTGATACTCCGCGATGCCAATTCGCACATGCAGTCATCGAATCGTTCTTTGAAAACCAGCTGGGCATCTGATATTTGCATTGTTTTTTATCAAAAGTGGCCATTTCATCTATTTAAATTACGAAATGCTGATGTTTGAACAAAGCGCTATTATTTTTAACCTGAACAACGTAGGTCATAAATCGTGGAACAGCCATACAAACAAACCTATTAAACATCTTATGTAACATTCAAGTGCTTTTTGACTTAACGCTAAGACCTTTAAGTGAGTAAAATTCTGATTGCTGTTTATCTGATATTTAAGTCCTCTTTTATGTCACTCCTCATTGGGGAAAATCATATAGTTGCACTTATTCCTAGTCCTATATTGTTATTTTCTTCCTACCCTTTAAGACAAAATTAGGCTAGTGCAGGTTTTAAGCTATTTTTTCAATGCGTGTCTTCTCTTTGTGCACTTACGGTCCGGAAATGTAGTCAAAAATATTCTGTGTAAAACCCTTTCGACATTCTCGGGGTAATTTAGCACTAGTTTCCGAGATTAAATCTGTGCTGCAAAAATCAAAAATCACGCTTGTCTGCGTAGTGGAAGACTATCTTAAACTGTGTTATTACTAAATCTCCGCTTCTATCGCATTTAGTTTGTGTGTGAAATTTCAACTACCCTTAACAAAACTACCAAATACCTCTTCCGAAAGAAGTTAATTAATATTAAAAACAGCCAAACCTAGGTTTCTTAAGATACTTTTCTAGCAAAAAATGTACTACTGATGCTCAGAAGTACTGAGGGCCAAATGGCGTGGTTTAAAGACCATGCCGCCGACCGGAAATACAATCCTCGGCGACCTAAGTGCCATTGTAAATCAAACGCAGAGCTAGACAAACTATCAAAGCACTACAGTAGCTCTCCTGGTCTATCCTATTTTCGTAACGAACTGCACTGGTAGAAAAATATTTGTAATTTGCACAATACATAGTTTGGAGGTCATTGTTACGGTAGAGGATCCATAGCACCGAAGGACAGTGCAACTCGCGATGATTGAGGAGCATGAACCCAGTAGAAGATGTGCATCAAAAATCAGTTTAGGGCAAAAAAACAAAAAAAATAATAAATTTGCTATAATTAATGGTTTTGATGCAAGCTCGTTACATCCGAACCATTTTGGTTCCGCTTGAACTAGCTTTTGCAAAGAGTTAAAGTGGCGTTGTTTACTACTACACCCACTACATGTAGCCTCTAAATCAACCGGCCAAAAATGCTGCATTTTATGTGCCAACCTGTCGTTTAATCTAAGTGCAGGACCTATCTATGTCAAACAGTTAAAACTTCATAATTTTCACAGCCATTGGAAGGTGTCTAGCCAAAGTGTTGTAAACATACCTCTAGAGTTGCCTCAGTAGACGTTATAAGGTATACGAGAGAGAAAAAAATGCTACCTCTTCCAACGCGGAAAAGGGGTGAAGAACCGGTAGTGCATAGGGAACACGAAGAGCCCTATTTCACCATTCCGCAGGGCGAATTATAAGAAATTTCGAGGTGCGTTCCCAAATTAGACTATTCAGCTTTTTTGAAGCTGAGCCATTGTTTCTAATCAGACGCTCAAGTATGCGAAGTATTGTTTAGAAATAATCCATTGTCCTAGTAATTTAATTTACACTTTCCTGACCTCCCCTTCAGCCAATGACTATCCAGAAATACTGACTGGTGAGTGCCTCCCATACTTGGTTCGCTCCGATGTTAAGACGTCAAAAAATCTGTTTATGATATTTATATATGGGGGAGAAATCACCGTCACTTTTTCATCCTTAGACAGGAAATGTGAATCTGATGTTTTTGTATAGGGCAAAATTGGACACAATTTTAATAATTCTAACTTATTTAGCTTTAATTAAGGCCACAAATCACTAGCCGTTCTTGCTATGCTGTCAATGCTACTCAAAACTAAACATTTCACTGCATGTGAAACCTATTTTAATTTGTTAATCCCCTGTACCAAGTAGCCAATCACAAATAAACAACAGCGAAAGCTGTTTATTTGAAGGATAATTTTAAACTAGCCCCTAATGACTTAATTTACACTTTTTTGGGTTCTTAAAAGGTAGAGTTAGGGTTTTCTCATTCACCCAAAAGCCTAGAAGGCAATCCCACCGCATTCGAGGAGGAGGTGTCGCAAACATGATGACGTTGGAAGCCCTGATTTTAGCGTTACTCAGGTGCCACCAAGACCGCGACTATCGGCGTGGGTGTTTGACTTACTTTCTCCTGACGAAGATGTACGGGCACCGAGGCGGAAAAGCAAGGAGCCAAGACTTAAAAGATTTCAATTATTTTGTAGTTACCATAGAAATGAACGACGGTTTTCTAGAAAAATCTTGTGTTTCGAATTTTCCCCTCAAAGCTTTCTTTACTTACTAAAAAGAGGCTATCAGATAGGCCGGTACTTGCAAGTTCCAATGGCTTGGGGCAGCGACTCGGTCTCACCTGCGTACACTCCCGACGAGGTCAGTGAACACGGGGAACAGACACCTAAATCGACTTTAATAGGGGACTGCGCTCATTATATTGCCGTAAGATAAGCATCTACATAGGTCTGAATAAATTTTTAACTACTATTTTTAATAACAAGAGTGTATGGGTGTAAATAGTAAATTAAGATAGCAGTAAAAATTCTCCCAAAAATAATAGATTATTCCTCATATTTTATAAAAGAGGTGAAAAATACCTAATCATATTTCACACTTTATAGTTAATTTCCATAAATTATTAACAAATAAAGGGATTTTGGCTGGCCTGGAAACCTGAAGGTGTAGGCGTCGGCAGGCGGTGCGCACCGACTTTAATCGATTTTTTGTCCTACGACTTGGGCGGAGAAGCGGTTAATTTGTGCGGTAGTAAAAAAATCACTCAAGATTGTTTAATTGGAAAGAAGAAGACGAGAGAAGGCGTAATGCTTGGGTAGAATATTTATTGCCGACGTACAGAATAGCAGGGTTGGGAGATTCAAGGCATGGCCCACAAGCCATTGCGTCAGGCGTAAGCGTAATCGCAGAGCCTTAAGTGAACGCGAAACGGAAGGGAATGGTTAAACAAACATTTGCAATACTACACAATCAACCCTAAGCACCCGTTTTTAGTGTTTTCCTTTCTTCAGAAAACTTTTGTTTCTACTTAATGACATCAATTTACTCAAATCGACAGGCAGGAATGTGCGCATGCTAATCGGTTGATTGGAATAAGGTCACCTAATGAGGTTAAAAATGCAAGGACTCCAGAGAGTCATAAGTCTTTATAACAGTCTCCTTCACAAGCCATTCTCTTGTGGTCCTCATGCAATACATTATAGGTTGGGCTAGTTTAGAGTGAAGTATGGCCCATAATCAAGAGGAGAAAGATAATTCCCCTGATTTTGCATGTACCACGTCCGCCCACTCTTCTTTCGCAACCTCCTCGCCTCCAGCTACCGCAGACGGTCTACAAGCCTAAAAACTTGTTTTAGCCAGTGCTGCTTTTCGACAACAACCTTCACGACCCGGGAATGGACACTTGAAATACCTTAACTGTCACGCCGCCACGGACTGGGTAAATGCAAGCACCTTTTTGATCACCTGTTCGCACAATAGTGTTGTCTTCAAAATTTAATCAAATTTTGGCAAAAATTTGACTATTCAAATAAAATTTGCCTAATCCCATACCTTCAAGCATAAGTTTGTACATCATTTTATTTTTGCTTCATCAGTATGAGATTAAAAAACCCCCAAAGGGTTTAAACAAACTCATTGTCAAATCGCGGCTGTCATATTTGACATTGTTTAGGAAAAGAATATCGGGAAATTAGACTGTTTAGGTGTAGAATTACACACTTTAAATGTTTTGTTGATTACTAACTTGAAGTTGCTCATGGCCCAATCAGCAGCACTCGCACGCGATTCGTGGACTTGTCCATTCAAGGTCACGCGGCCTCCAGCCAATGGAAAGCGTGAAAGGAAAAATTGCTGTAGAGGTTTTGTCGAGCGGTGGCTGTGCTGAGCAAGGGACCAGTCTGACGCATGCCTTTCAGGCTTCACAGCAATTGTGGTGCTTTGTAAGTCTACTTCGGCTATTTCGCTGCTTTCACTTTGATATGGTCACTCAGGCTTTCGCTGTCCATAAAATAAAGGATTTTCGACTCTTCCACCTCGAGAAGTGCTCGAGTTATTTAACCACACAAATTCTATTTAATCAATCAAAATAAAAGCACGTTTTTAGCGTTAGAGTGATTTTATTTGAAAAAAAAATTTTCGTAAATGTGCGCGAATGTGACTGGTCAGCCGCCAGGACGAGATTTTGCAGCAATTATAAAAATAATATTTATCACTTTAAAGTAAAAAAGGCATTCGTGTAAATCGGCAGATGAATTTGAATTTTTGAGAAAAGCTTTATAGGTCGGCTTTTTGGATCACAGTTGTGGCGCAAATTCCTGTGCACACTACGGAGGGCATCTTTCACCCTTTTTTGAGCCCAATCCGGTGGGAATGGAGTAATGCCTCATTCTTGCTATGATTTATCTGCCTCGATTAGTGTGGCGATGTAGCCATCATCTAACTGGACACTTTACCATAGGGAGAACATCGACTCGCGCCTTGACGGTTAGGCGAAATCACCATTGAAAGTTCCTCTTTCCCTCGCCTCCGCGTTCTGTTTTCATATTACCCAAACAAAGATGCCTAGTAGTTAGCTATCCGAGGCAACAGTTACTGCTTTCAAGGGTTTTTATTGGCCAATTCTTTGCAAATGACGTAGATTGCATTGTCAAGACAGTATAAGGGTGGTGTTTGCTTTATTTGAGTATAAACCGGTCTGTCACAGTTAGGATTGCCAGATTTTCAAATAGGACACTAAGCCAGAAAAAAATATTACCTTTTTATGGGACTAGTGAATAAATGGAGCTGACGCCACTGGATCGAAGCTATAATTACCCCTTTTTACGTTAAGCGCTTCGGGAGAGTAGGAATTTTTTCAGAAATCCAGTAAAACAGACTGCCATCTTGATTGGTTCCCGATCTCGAAATGACAGGGCAAGTATTCAGCATCATGTCAAATTGATGTTTATCACTTTAGTACCGATCCTATGAACAACATATCATAGTTTTCTTATTATAAATCACCCGAATCTCGCAGCCTTTTGAGGTGCCATTGAAGTGAATGGCAGACGACCTTTCAAGATTTAATTGTCTTGTCATATCTATTAATGACTATAGGACTTAAAGAAAAAAACGGGTTTTATATCTTTTAAAAACTGTTAAATGTGTTTTATTTGACCCCATTATCGATTAGCCAATTGCCTTAGATTAACAAAATGACTAAATTAATCGATTTCTAATTGTACTTGTCAGTTGAACGACTAGCTGACTGTCAATCAATAAATGGCCGATTGAAAACTTTGTTATTGATCTCTTTAGAGAATTCCATCTCAAATTTATCAATTTTGAATAATTTTTAGGGTCAAAGTTAGGCAGGGTTCTCGCTCCTGTAACAAGTTAATCTCCATTTTTAATATCATTGATGGCTAGTCAATAAACTCGTCAAACCGGTTGAATATTTAAAAAGCATGGTGTGACACCATAGGTAAACGATTAGCTCCACGCCTTGACACCTCCCCCCCACCCCTCTTTCTCGGGCGCAATTGTCGTGCCAACTCGCCAACCCCATCATCTGCGTCTTGATTTTTCTGACAAGGGTGAAAGGATTTTTCTCCTCCTAATTCGGTACCTATATCTTTGCCCTCAACTTGATATCCCTTATAAATTTTGGGAAAAAAATGAACAACCCTGCATGCGTCATCACCAATTAAGTAGACACTTATCAAACAATCGATAAAACTAGTACCGACTATCGGTCTAGTCTGGTAATGGCTGAACCAGTATCGATTTTCTATTCAATTAAAGCAGAATGTTGTTGTTTTGGGCAACAATTTAGGTAAATAAAAGAGGAGGAATTCATTTTCCTTCCCGGTGTTAAAGTAGCCCTGCAACCAATGACAAGCGATTGCGTCGTGAGTGGTAGGAGGGGCCTCTGCGATGTGCCATTATTGTCCATTTCCTCTTCCTCTTTGCAAAAGACAGGCATAATAAAATGCTAATTGTCGACATTATGCAAATAAGTGCATGACCTGGCATCCAAGTAGGTGGTAAATCGGATCGCGCCTTTTGACGGGCGTAGATTTGGGTTGAAAGTTTTGGCACAGGTTACACACCTTAAAACATTGCCCTTGTGAAGAAGTGATATGGTGGAGGGATGGACGGACTGCAGACTGGAGCCACTAGTGCGGCTGGAAAGGAGTTATCACCCATTTGTTCCCACGGAAATGCCTGTGAATTACTTCTCCAACTGACAGACATCGAAAACCAAATCGCTGAACTCGCAAATCCGAGATAATCGATCAGCAGAGGTATCACACTGCTTTTTCATTTAAAAAAATGTATGGCGCCCTAGCTTAATTTTCTTGGATAAACAAATATGATCTTAGAGGAGTCGAATTAACTCCATTTAATGAAAAGTGACGATATATTTTGCCACGAGTGGACAGGATGTGACGATCACCGATATGCTAGTAAAATTTATAGTCAAGCCGCGCAAGAATTTTGCGTGTAGTATACACACCCAAATAAAACGGTTCTTTCCGTTGGTAATTCATTTCACCTCCACTTCCTCCTCTAATCCTATTAGTCGCCTTTGCCGCAGGCACACATCCGGCCATGTACCGCCTTGATCATTATCCTTCTGAAATGTGTAGCTTCCACCAACAGTTATATACCTAAAAGCAAAGTGGCACAAAATTTGCTGAGTGACCAAATCAATGCATCAAATGGAAATTGCGCACAAATCACTAATTGGCCAATCAGAGCGATGATTTAAGATTGCGTACATTTCTCCTGTGTTCTGATTGGATGATGCCTAATTAAATAATAATCATATACTTGGAAATTGCAGTCTTTTGGTAGTATTGGAAAGATGAATGATTAATGGTATGCAAGAGGGTTACAGCGCCATTAGTTTAAATTGGACAATAGAGAAATTTAATTTACTGGCCTCGTCGGTCTACTTAGTATCTTTTTGTAATTCACGTGACCCACCTAAAGTTACCAAATTTGATGAGGTCTGCCTTGTTTTTGTGGTAGCTATTGTGGGACCGCCTCCCAGGGGTAAAATGTACATTTCTGAGCAAGTAAACAAGAGAAATCCATTGATGTGGTGTTAAGTGGACCTGATAAAGTCTGTTGTCTGCAAACTTTATGGAGCCAAAATAGTTTTTTTAAGAATGAACAGCCTTTTTTCCAGTAAAAATGCTGGATTAATAAGTGGGTCCTTAGAGTAGGCTAGAATTTATGCTTGAAATATTAAATCCTACGCAGGCACTATAGTGGGTCTTAACGCGATGCGATTGGTGACTGAAGAGGCCATGTAAATAAAAGACGCCTCAAGTACATGCCATCCTCTTTGCTAGTTGGGGCACTTTTATGTCTAAACGGTGATTTTTGCCACATCGGGTCCAATTAGACACCACCAAAAGCCCTTCACTCAGCAGAGCATCCTTTGGCATTTATAATACGGCATAGAGAACAATTTTGTTTCCAAAAACTGAATCAATTTGAAACAAAAAGTAATAGAAATTATACAAAGCTTTGTCTCCAAATCATCGGACGCATTCCTGTTTTGTTTAACCTCCGATCTCCAAGGTCACAACACCTACAGATATGCAAGCATTGAGTAGCGCATACAAAATAGCATCATAAACAAGTTCTGTTTTCATAAGCACTCCGTTGGTTTACGCAAGACTTGTTTATCTTGCTTGAATTCGGATAAACTTTTGGCCTTTCTCCTCCTTACATTAGTCAGTTTTTAACCAATCAGTTGCCTACATCGATCTTTTGCCTAGCCCAACTTCTCACAACGCGTTATTTGGCTAAGTGCTGTGAGAATGGTGACGCATCAGGTCCCCTCCATATAGGGCAGTTTACTTTTGACCTCCTCTTTTCCTAGGCCACCCTCTTCCGTGTTCATTCTATATTTAGTTGGTGAGGTGAAGCTGCGCTTTGAAGGCGCCCATTCATCAAAATATGAGGTTTTTTTTCCTCCCGTAAACTTTCACTGAGAGGCGATAAAAAGTTTGGCATTTTGCGTGGGACACCCTTTTACTTCGAGATACTGTCCCTCCCCTCTCTCTCACTCTCCGACTGTCAATAACTAGTTGGTTTAGCTTAGCAACTAAGTAATGGGGATTGGGGAAAAGCGATCTGTACTCCTTTTAATAAGTAAGTTAACCCTAAAAACATTATTAACCCTACAAGGTTGACAGTTGGCGTGAGAGTGTTGGTAGGGGTCCAAGTCATCGTTGAGAAAGTTGATAAGTGGACGAATGAAAATAGCCGCGTCGAATTATTCCCCGGTGGGGCAAACACCGCTCTGCCGCCACAAAAAGGATAAATCTTTTCAGACTTTATTTATACTCCAAAGTGAATTGCCTTTATCCTTTCAGGATTTTAGTGTAGTTTTTTCTCGGTTTATGCGTGGCGGATGAGTATGCGAGAACTTGAAGAGGATCTTCTGCGCAAGTGAGTATGTAGCATGTAGGTGTAGTTAGCATTCTACCACCCACCTCCCATCTTTTGTGGCCTCGGTACTCTCTGGGATTACCCATTTGCAATGTTCATGGGGTGACCGAACGCTGTGACACTCGAATTAGAAGCTCGCCTTGGTAGGGCACGAGCTCGTAAATCTCACACTTTGTCGCAAGGAATGGGGAGTCTAGCTCTTGGCATCCCTCGTTCTACCGTGATCATGCAATTATCTAATGCATTGTGTTAATAAAAGGTGGTAATCACCTGGATCCTCGAGAGAGAACATAACGGTACAGGAGATGTTGTAGTATCTACACCGCCCCTTGCTCCTACTCCTCACCCTAGGTATCTCTCTCGGTTTCATCCTAAAGTACATGTGGTCTTGCAGTATCTTGTGGGAATAGCGCTTTCTTCCCATTGTTTGATTAGTTTTTCCCCTTCCTTGAGAAGACGTTAGAGTCGTCCCACATTGAGGCGATGGATCTTGGCTTCAGCTGCCTTGGTCTTGGCGAATTTGTAATTCCCACTGAACAATTCTGTCTGTAGTTGACCCCACACGCGGGAGGTGAGGTATTGCGTGTCTCAGACATGCGGTGAGTGAGTGACTGAAGGGATGCATTATTTAAAGGCGATCATTGATCTGTTTACATTCTAAACAAAAAAAGAAGGACACGCCCCAGCACAAGTCACTCAGCGTTTTTTTAAATGGGGGAGGAAGTGTAGCTAATTCTTCAACAGCCCCTCCGTCATAGCCTCTTGTCTATCATTTGTCAACGCATTTGAAAGAAACTCACTTGCCTGTCTCTTACCACTACTGTTCCATCTGATGAAGGTGTGAAAACAAAAACGCTAAATTTAAAAGTCTCCTCAGACTGTGTTCTGCCTGTCCACTTGTCTGAATCCCTTCTTTCCGCCTCCATCATGAGGAGGTGGTGAGCCTCCATTCATCCCTCCTCAGCTTCACAAAACACTAAGTCCTTTTTTTGCTGTTGCTCCAACCACAAGTCTTGAGGATGTTTAATAGTAGAAAATTTCCAAACGCGCTGTGTTTTAATCTGGACTTACTTCAACGTGGCGCCCCATTTAAAATTGACTAACCATAATAATTGATGAGCTTGATTTTGATTTCCGCAATGAGGAAGACTCCATGTAAAATAGCAGTCTTTTTTCGTATAAAAGAACAACTTTTGCAACTTTTTTAGAAATTTAGTCTTTGCTATTAACTTTGCTTTTTCGATCCACCACTTCTGTGTTTGTATGCAAGTGTCAAATTCTCCTAAAAGAAAGGCAAACAATAGGGAACGATGGCTTCTTTCAAGGAAAAAAAGATTTAATTTGTGTTTTAAATTAGCTGGGGAAATGGAGGTTTTGTAGCAGTTGTCCAATACCCGCACGTCGTCGTATCTATAAGTGAAATTTTTACTTAGAAACAATCTGCATCAATTTTATATTGTGTGCCTTACAGATTAGCATATTTGTTTAGGAAAACCTCTCTGGTCTTCTCTTTTCTTGTTTCTACTTTTTTGAGTCAAAAGTAAGGGCGGTTTTCATGTCTTTGGATGAAAAATGTCAACTCTTTTTTCTCCTGTCAGTTATGCTTGCGTGAGGCACTCACTGCTTCTTGTGTTTAGTTTATTTAAACCAGTAGATACTCAGCATTTTGAATTGATTTCTCACTGTTTTCTCTCCCATTCTTACCTTTCTTTATCCCCGGGAGAAAAGAGAAAAATGTCATTTCCCCATAACTCATGACAAAAAGGGGTGGAACAAAAATTTAGCCAATTTGTTGTTCCCTCTTGTTTATCACACTAACGAAGTGAAAGAGAAGGTGGTAATTGTGACCACGAGCGCCTCCACGACGCAGTCGACGGCGTAGGTCCGCCCGCCCGCTTGCTCTCTCGCTCGTCCCCAGCGTTGGCATCATTCACTTAGCAATGCAAATCTCTACCACGAGGCGTTGTCTTTTTTTCTGATGACCGCAAGCATTTATCTTGAATCGTACATTTTTCACACACGGTTGGAAGGTCAAACGGTGACGCAGAGGACGGATGCTGACAGTGTCGATTTTTTTTTCGCCCTTCACCGATCACTCTCCAGATGGAATATTTAATCTTGGAAATTCTCTTCTTCTTTTTTTAAAGGCATAATTTAAAAGATAGCGGTTGTGTGGCATTGATATATTGTGGATTTGTTCCCATTTTTTGTTGTTCTTGTGCTAAAGACCCATTTAACAGTCGCCTGGCAACCCACTAGGGTAAGGCGACGTTGATCTGATCTGCAAAATGAAATTGTGCTGCGCTTTGAATCTTCCTTGTGGACTAAAGAAGACATAGTACTTGTGCGGATTGTGTATTGCCGACGGGTAGGGAAGATGAGGCTGGGTGCCACTGGCATGGCCTGAAGGTCTTCCGCCCAGCGGAAATTCAATCGTGGAGCCTTCCGTGCTCTTGAAACCAAGTTGAAGAGTTAAATAAACAATCAAAGTACTGCAATGCAAAATATAAATCTAAAACAAAAAAAAAAAACAAAGTAACGCAGATCCGGGATTCCGATTAACCTCATCATGGAGGATGATGCGGTATTGCGACGATGCTCGAATTTGCATCACTCTGGAGCAAATGAGGGTAATCGCACATTCCCCTTCTAATTTCACTAATTAAAAGCTACCAGTTCAAATAAAGGCAAATAATTAAAATTATTTAGTCCCTTTGCTTTAAAATTCTTAAGTTCTTAAGGTGCATAGAAGTCCATTGCTTTTCAATGCGAGTTCAAAATAAGCTTCACATCGGGTGTTTTAGAACTCAAAATTTTATTAATCAAAGGGAGAAGATGTCGTAAATGGATCTGTAGTGCTCCCAAGCCTTCGTTGATGTCGTAACCAAGCCGAGGCAGCTTGAAGGAGCATGTATTATTAACACCCAGAAGAGGTACTGAGCTACCAGCGAGGAGGCTCAGAACGCATACCCGTGGAGCGAAAGCCCAACATGCGGGGAGTCAAGTGTCTGTGCAGTTAAACACAAAATTAAGTAAAATACATGAGCAGATTTTAGACTTGCATAAAGTAAAAATTTCTTGTGTGGTTAGGTAGGAGGGGATTTCAGTCCCCGCAGGGTCATGCTTCTGGGACCATGTTGATAGTCTTCCAGCTCTGCTCTGCCTGGGTTGTGTGTGCCCCTCCAAGCCACTGGCTTCTTCCGGCTTAAGGGCGACTCGGGAGTAAACCAATATTCCTATCTAAGAGGTCACTAAGATGGCATATCGGCTGACCTCTTTCGTAGGCCTTCTAAAGTTGTTTTGCCCACTTTTGCCTTCCTAGTAAAGCATCGTAAATGCCAGAGGCTCTCACACCTAGGCATTAATTTAAAAAAATTTCCACTTATATTAGGTCTAGAGTGGTATGTTTGTGTCCTCCGGAGACTTCCCTGTTATTAAATAAACTAAAATGGTGTGAGGGAGCATACTACTTACTAATATTCAGTAGGGCTAGAAAGCCAGCAGACCATGACCCAGAGCGAACATTACGAGATATATAGAATGGCCGATAACTGGTCTATTTCGAATGGTATAAGACACCATGGAAAAAGGAAAACAGCTCTAGTTCCTACGTCATTAGTTTCAAATAAGAAAAGGTTCTTTAAAAGAGTTCAGCAGATGTCTCCTTCCAGCAACCCCTTAAATGGAGGCATTATAGCGCTCCCTAGTCTTCTTGAGGTCGCATTAAGTTAAAACAGTGTGAAGAAACACGCATGACTGAAGTAGAGAAGAGAATAGAGATAATCAACATGGCTCGGTGAACGATAGTGGAGCGCAACCTGCAGAGACCGAGATGCCCTCCTACCTATTCACACATTTAAACATAATAATTTAACAAGCAATTATCTTTTCCAATGTAATAAACTTTTAAAATTACAAAATTTTACAAATCTAACGTTGTTTGCGTCCTAAAATACTTCTTAATTCTCTAAGTTTCCTTTCAAAGGATCGGTATTTGCCCTTTTTAAGAATTTGAAGCACTGATTGAGATAGGGTGCTCGTAAACAGTAAACAATCAAAAGATACTTTAAAAAGGCAGAATTATACATGAATTTTTACATTCTTAACCGTAATTCTGATGCCCCTTCTAGGGACTGGCGGTACTTTTTCTCACCCATCCACTGTGTCCGACTGATACTTTAGACAGGCATTACCAGCCCAATGAAATGGACTAGAAAACAATCATTTCATTCCTGATATTATCATAACTAGTGGAAAGTAAAATCGCCCTTTTTTCCTTCATGTTTCAAAGTTAAAAAAGTCAAATTTACTCATGCGCAGTGGCGCAATTGTTTGGCCATTTTATCAGTTCCCCACATCTGACTAACAAAAGTCTGTATTAATGAGCATCTAAATTGTTTAAACGAATAACCCACTCATGCGCTGTAAAAATTTTATGCCTGATGTTTTCAGTCAGGAGTTTCATTTTTCCTGCTTTTTTACTGGTCACCCCAACTCTCGCATTTCCGTGTTTTATTTCTAGTGTCAAAGTAATTAGCAATATTTTTGAATAAATGGGCAATATTTAATGAGGCTGACTGATTTTACCAGGGCAGACGGATAAGCCACATTTTTTATCTACTCAAAATTTACACTAGCAATTATGTTGGTTTTGGAGTGGTAACGTCTTGAATGTGTCATAATTTAATAAAATCTTCTAAGATACCGTATCCAAATAAGAAAATTCACTTGTTTAATTCCTTCCCAATCTTCAGTTGGCATTAATTCGTGCCAACTTATTGGCTTTCTGTCCAAGTAGCTGATTGGGAGCTTCATTTTATAAGTTATTTAATCCAACTTTCTGTCCTTAGGAAATTACCCAATTTTGTACGCAGTAAAATATTATTTTAATTGAAAAAATCCTCTAATCCCATGATCGTTTTCTTGCATTTGGCTTTCTAAATGTCGTGGTAGAAAATCGAATAAAAAAGGTGATAAGTAATTTTCCAAAATAGAAGTAAATTTAACAAAAAAGAATAAATGCTTAAATATCGCCTATTATCATTGAATAACAAGATGCTTACACTTTTTGCTGTGTGCTACTACAGATGGAATATCCAGTATTCCCTGCCTGTTTGATCAACAACCTCATGTCTGCGCCACGCGATCGGCATTAAGATCGCATCTTTGAGATCCCTCCCTCAAACAGTGTTTAGATGCGGAGAAAATCGCTTTTCTTTTATTCACATACTTATTTCCATACCAGAAAAAACATAACGACTTTATTGGTTTTCAAATCCTTGCGTCCGATTGGTCAAAAAATACCTGGTTTGTGCAAACCCAAGCCCCATTTACTAATTCGATATTTTAGCCACTTTTTGCCTAAAATAAAAGTTTTTCGGTGTAAATGTGTGTCCCACCTCTGAATCCTCATTTTCTTTATTTACTGAAATTTTTTAAGTATAGGAAGATTTAGTGGTCCCTAGTGCTGTGTAATGGAGGCAGGCATTTGTTAGGGCACTTGTGAATAATTCAACAGAACAAATTAGACCAAGGCAAGAAATATTTAAGCATTTATAGTTTAATCAAAAAAAGCACTGAACACCTAATCCTTTTTTGTGCTAAAAAGTTGTAACGAAATGGTGTGCTTTTTGCATAGAATGGGGAAATAAAATAGATGGGCATGTGCAGCAGCTGTTCTCATTGCTGGAAATGGACAATTTACAGCCATTTTTGTCAACTTCTATCCAATCACTATCAGGAAGCGTTCAACTCCATTCGCTGCTGTGAAGTTGCATAGCCTTTGATGATTCGGTCAACCATTCAGGCGAGGAGGACAATAAAAGGAGTTTAAAAAAGTAATTGAAAATTTGGAATCATATTGAAAGATTTATTGCGCCAAAAACTAGTCTTACCCATTAAAAAATTCCCACACAATATTTTTAGGACTATATTAAATGCTTTATGTGAAAAAAGCTGTAGATTACAAGTTTGACTTTTTATTGACTTTTTGTCAATCACCTCAAAAATCAGTAACTGATCTAGCTACTTAATAATAATGACAACTTTTATTTTTTCAGTAAGAAGAACCCTTAAAACATTATTTTTTTAATCCTCACTTAAAATTAATTTCCTTTACATTTCGTATTTTTCACACTGTACGCCGATTGGCTAAAAGGCAGAAAAAATTGTGGAATTTTCTACTTTTTTTCCGGTCCCACCACTGACGTTATTTGACCCTACTTATGACAAAAAACAACAGCTTGTCATTTTTGATGTTGATTTAGCACCTTCTTTGCACGTGAACAGTTAACACGATTGTTTTTGCTGCAGCCATTTGATCACTTCAACGGTTTTACCCTCTTTACTATCTCTTAAATGACTTTATACACTTTATTGAAACACTTTTGAGTGGGGTAAATTATTTTTACTACTCGTAAGGTCGTTGCTAACAGTTCAAGTTAGGCTATTTAGTCTCTTCCGTAGTAGTTAATCATGTCACTGGCGAGAAGTTAGCCCAATGGATTCGGAGCCTTTGGAGAAGGTTTAACAAGAAAGAGATTGCAAATTGCATTTGCATATCTTGCAAATAAAATTAAATCACCAATGACAGGCATAAATGAACAGGATAGAATAGCACACACGAATAAATTTGCTTTTCTAATAAAGTAACTTGCAAATCTCGATGCTCCTCCGAGATCTATGTCACCGTCATGGAAGTCGAACCATAGCACATTCAAAAGTAATTGCCATGGTGACTCTACTATCATCCATTGCAGTTGAGTGATTGGATCAAAGGTCATTTGTGTTTCTTTTTCCCTCATAATGGAGATGGGACTTTTATCTCGAAAAACTAGTAGTAACACATTTTAGCAAAATCTGATCAGGTGACCTTGTCACGACCTGTCTTGCCAAAAGGTATTAAAAGAATGCAGTTTGAGGCCTTCA